TTTTCAACTCCACCGAACGAAAAGTGTGTCTTTTAATCTTTGCCCTATCCCCGTTACACGACTATGGGCAAAGAGGGGCAGCTGTCAACACACCTTTTTGTCCTACTAGGATTCAAACTCCTAAAAATAGGATAGAATTTTGCTAGGATTTAAACTCCTAAAAATAGGATAGAGTTCTACTATGATTTAAACTCCTAAAGATAGGATCCACAAGCACTATAAATAGTCATTGTAACTCACTATTGTAAGACACGATTTACAGACAAAATACAGAGGAAAACACAGAAAATACAAAGGCAAAGCTATTGTAAACGATTCGAAGTAATAAAGGTGAAAGCTTTTTTTATCTTTTGTTTGTTTCTCTTTACTCTTCACTTGCATGTGTTGTTAATCGTGTTTTCTTTAGAGAACCCCAAAGACAAATGTTTTAGCCGATGACCCAGAGAGAGTTTTTTTGAAACTTTGATTTCAGATCTACGCTCCCTAGAGGTTATTTCGCAAAAAAAAATTACATTTTTGAATGAGAGTACGAAAATCTATCAAAAAAATGAATTTTTTTTTTATTTTTGTTGGTTTTAATCTTCAATGTTCTTTGACATTTACCCACTTAATTTACATTCATTTCATTTTAATCCCTTAATTAGTTTATATATATATATATACATACTTGCTAATTTTATTTTTAATTTATCACTTTTTTAATTTTTCTCTATTTATATACGTTATTACCCATATATATATATTTATTTTCTTTGCATTTTTATTATTACTATTATATTTATTATTATTATTTTTACTATTATATTTTCCTTTTATTCTACTTATTTATATATATATGTATTTTTTATATTTTATTATTATTATATTTTACTTTCTCTTTCTTTTTATTATTCTTGTATTATTACTTGTTTTTATATTATTTATTTTGTTATATATATATATATATATATATATATATATATATACACACATATGTTCTTTTTAAATATTTTAATTTTTATACCTATTATTAATATATATTGGTTTTTTTTTTATTTTAAGTGCTATATTTTATAATATTATACATATTTTCTATTAATTTTCTATATTTTTTATTATCATTATATTATATTTTTTCTTTTTTTATTGATATTATTGTTGTTATATATACATTTTACTATTATTATATATATATATATATATATATATATATATATATATATATATATCTACACAAGTTAATTATATCTACCTACTTTGTCCCCACCCCTCATCATTTTTTCTTCTTGTCAATTATACTTCACCAAACCTTACTTTCTTTTCTTCCCTTTTCGGTGTGATTATTTTTTTAACTACTTATTATCATTATTAGTATTGTTACTATATATATATATATATTGTAATTATCTTTATTTGTTTTTTTACCATTATATGTGTATATGTTCTTTTCGTCATTTAATTTATTAATTTATATATATTTACTTATTTATTTATTTTATATATATATATTATTCGTACTTTGTTATTATTATTTTGTTTTATTTATTTTCTTTTTCTTTTTCTTTTTTATATATATTTTATTATTTATTTTTTTACTTATTATTTTATCTTTTCTTTCTTCATTTTATCATTTTACTTAATTTATTTTCTTTTCATTTTAATTTAATTAATTAATTTCTTATCATTTTATTTAACATGACTTTTTTACTTTCTTAAGGGTACATTTTCAATTAATCAAATGTAAGTTTTTTATCGTTATTTTACCTTTCAATTTAAACTTTCAACTTTCTTAATTAAAGACAACTGGAAATTACATAGTACCGAAAGGGCGGTTCGAGGGTGCTAATCCTTCCTTGATCGTAACCGACTCCCGGATCCGACATATCACTGGTAAGACGCAGATCAGGTAAGAAATAAGGTATCCGATCAACCCACTTTTCGTAAAATAAATGATCGGTGGCGACTCCCAATCCATTTTCACGTCGAAGCCCAATTCCTGAACACAACCGAAAGACGGTTAAGACAAGAGGTGTGGAGTGCGATTCTTTCGTCGGACGGGTCTAGAGCTCCCGACCCTGATGGATTTCAAAAAAATTTGCAGTGATTAAAAGGGTGAGATTATGGACTTCTTCGCTGAGTTTTATAATGGGTAACTACCAGACGTCTCTATCAATCATTCTTTCATCACCCTTATCCCGAAAAAGAGTTATCCTGAGTCTATAGTGGATTTTCGTCCTATCTCGCTGGGTGGGAGTGTCTATAAGATATTGTCAAAAGTTTTGGCTAGAAGACTTGCAGGATGCATATGTGAAGTAGTGGGTGATTCTCAGTAGTTTGCATTCATTGTGGGGAGACAAATTTCGGATTGCGCACTCACTGCTAACGAATTCATCGATGACCTAAGCAAAAGGAAAAGAGAAGCAGTACTTTCGTAAAGTCTACGTTTCGGTGGATTGGGGTTTTCTAGACTAATTATGAATTCTATGGGTTTTGGCAAAAAATGGAGGCTTTGGATGAAGTTGTGTATTTCAACTGCTTCTATCTCAGTTCTAGTCAATGGTTACTCGTCGAATAACTTTAACATTAAGCGAGGGTTGCGCCAAGATTGTCCATTGTCTCGCACATTTGTTCAACCTCGTGGGGGAAGCGTTGAGTGGATTAATCAGAAAAGGTGTTAATATCAGTTTAATCAAGGGTGTGAGAGTTGGGCCTAGTGACCTTATTATTTCGCATATCCAGTTTGCAGACGATCTGATAGTGTTTTTGTGATGCAAATATGGATTCCATAGCCAACATTAAAAGGCTTCTCAGAATCTTTGAGATCGCTTCGGGGCTAAGTCTGAACCTTAGAAAGACCAAGTTATTCGGGATTAATCTTGAGGATAGTTGCATTGAAGCATGGGTTGGAGTTTCGAAATGTGGTTGGGATAAGCTGCCAACTGTCTACCTCGGCTTGCCACTGGGTCAGTCTAGGAGCTCAGTAGAGTTATGGAAGCCAGTTGTGGAGAAAGTCTCTTCTTGCCTTGAGGGCTGGAAAGGAAAATTATTATCCTTCGGAGGGCGCTTAACGTTAGTCAAATCAGTGCTCACAAATCTGCCGGTGTATTACCTGTCTTTGTTCCTAATGCCAGCGGCTGTCTCTTCGAAACTTACAAGTATTATCTCAAATTTCCTGTGGAGAGGAAGTAGTGGCAAATCAATCCACTGGGTTAAGTGGGATTGGGTGTGTAGTCCCAACTCTCATGGTGGTTTAGGGGTCATTGATCTCCGGGTCAAAAATCGAGCTCTCCTTAACAAGTGGATTTGGCGATTCGGGAGGGAGCCTGAAAGCTAATGGAGAAAACTTATGGTGGCCAAATATGGTTATAATGAACAATCTCTCCCAACCAAGAAGGCCTCTCGTTTGTGGAGGAATATAATCCAGCCACTGTCGGAGGAGAATGATCTGTTCAGCAGTAACCTTAGAATATCCTTGGGGATGGGCTGCACACTGACTTTTGGGAAGATTTCTGGACCGAAGTCCCCTCTCTTAAAGTGGCGTTTCCTAGAATTTTTAGTGTGGCAGTTAAAAAAGGAGGTAAAATGGCAGAGTTTGGTGTGAAAGTTAATGGCATATGGGAATGGAACATTGAGCTTAGGAGAGGACTTTCTGCGTGCTATCAACAATGGTGCAAGAGCTAATTGTGATGGTGATAGATTGAGATGGGTTGGTTTCGCAAATGGACTATTTTCATCTAGTTCTTTCTGTTCCTTATCGGCTGGTTCTGATGTAGAAAGAGATAAACTTTCGAACCTTGTTTGGTCCAATCTTGCCCTGCCTAAGGTGGAGGCGTTTGTTGGGAAGGCTTTGTTACATAGGATCCCGGTTCACTCCGAGCTTGCAAAAAGGGGAGTTTTAAATCCAGATTCATGTCTTTGCTTGTTATATGGGTTGGAAAATGAGTCTGTTAACCACTTACTGTGCAGGTGTGCTTTGTTATGGAGAGTGTGGCAAAGATGGCTATCACAGTGGAATATTCACTTTGTGTGCCCCGGGGTTGTTAGGTCGTTTTTATTGTGCTGGGTTGACCTTCCGGTTTCTAAATATTGTCGAAATTATTGGCTTTTAGTTTTTTTTTGGCTTTGTGTGGACCATTTGGCTATGTAGGAATGAAGGGTTGCTAAAAAATAGGCATCCTGAGGTGGAGCACATATACGAATTGGCTGTATTGAGGATTCGCCATTGGATTAAATGGAGCTGCCAATCTGACAGCTTTTCTATTTTGGATTTTTCCAGGCTTCCTTGTGCACAGATTTCTTTTGTTAAACATGGGGTCAGAGTATAATTGGCTTGGTCGTCTCAGTTAACTTGGTTTTGGCAGGTTCACTTCAGTTGGTCTGAGGGATACAGTCATTGTTCGAGTGGTGCACTTGAAGTCGTTGGGGTGGTTTTTCTGGTGATTATTACTTAGTGTAGAAGCGTTGGTGGTTGTATTGTGTTGTCTCTTTACTGTCTTCTTGCGTGCTGAGTATTGATATAGTTTGGAGTTGATGGGGTGGATCCTTTTGTTTGATGTTCTGTTTTGAGGGGTAGTGGCTACGGTTTTAGTGTATTATTGTTTCCCTGTGAATTGGTGTATTGTTAATGTTTGTTCTGGGTGGTCTGTTGGTTGTGATAATTGAGAGATGATGTCATTGTTTGGTTAGCCTCATGTATGTCTGTGCAATCGTTTGGTTTTGGCATTGCTACGGTGTCGTCGTTTTTCTATCGTACAGGAAGGCTCCTGCAATGTTGGTTCTGCATAGATGGTTGCTACGTGGGTGGTGGCCGTGATTGAATCTAGGAATAGGTTCCTTTGCTTGTGTTGCTCTTCTGGTTGCAGGCGGCCTGGGGAGTTGCTGCTAGTAGCCTAGCTCCTGTGGGGGTGAAGCACATTCGCTGCTGTGTTTTTGGGTGGGGTTGGATTTAATGTTTGGTTGCTTGTGAGATTCCTGTTGCTCTGTTGAATTTCTTAGTGTTCTGCTGTGTAAGCTGTGTACTGTTAGTAACCGATCTCATCAACAGCTTTACATGTTATCGTTGCCAAAGCCCCTACTCATGCCAAAGAAGATGAAAAAAGAAATAAGAACCCAATTAGACTTAATCAATACAAATTAGTTATTAGGATTGTCCAACAGGAATTTAATTACCTTGAATTGGGTAATACTTGGAACCTGTTTTACATAAAACAGTCCCTTGAACAGCAGAGGAGAGATAGTTTGCTTCAGATTTTGTTCCATAGGAAGGCTTCTCATCTGGCTTTGCTTGCTTGTAGTTATCTGGTTTTGGTTTTACAACATATGAGTTTCTGTTGTAACCAGATTTTTCGTTTGCTTCTGGTTTTGGCTTGTAGGTGCCTTGATTTGTGCCATAATTAGGCTTGTCTTCGCCTTCCGACTTTGGTTTGACAACGGATGGCTTTTTGCTATAGTCAGGCTTTTCCTTCTCTTCTGGTTTTGGCTTGTAGGCGTCTTGATTTGTGCCATAATTAGGCTTCTCTTCTCCTTCTGGTTTTGCTTGAGGGCTGTCAGCCGGTATTCCATCAAAACCATACTTTGATGAATCATCAGCATGACCAGGCTTCTCTTTGTATACCGGTTTGGGCTGGTAGTAATCGGGTTTGGTACCGTATTGAGGCTTTTGAGCTTCTTCTGGCTTTGCCTGAGGGCTGTCAGCCGGTGTTCCGTCAAAACCATACTTAGATGAAGCAGTATCACCATAATCGCCAGCCGAAGCAATTGCTATAAATGACAGTACAAGAAAGGAGAATGCCAAGGAGAGACGTGAGAGAGCCATTTCAATATAATAATTAAGGGAACAAAGAAAGAAAGATAATTGGATGAGGAATTGGTGCTGACACCGTTGCTATTTATAGGAAAATCAGAGAAAAATGATCATAATGATTATTGTTTTAAGATACCAACAAATAACAATAATTATAGTTTACAAATAAAATAAACAATTTTAAAAAAGTTGGATGCACGATCCAAACGTCATTTGTAGATTTGGGTTCCACTATGTAAACAATATTATTTAATTATCTAAATAAATTAAAAAGTATTTTAAGAATTTGTTATAATTTTGTCATAATCTTATCATGCATCTTCCAACGCAATGTTTTTGGCTACATCTCCTTGGTGACACGAACTTCCTCCGTTACAGCGACGGTTTCACAGGTCTTACTCTGCGACTCACTCTTCTTCATTGTCCATTGATCTAATAGATGATCGACCGATGGGATAGTCTAACCCACTTGGTCACTTTTAGCGGCCGAATAAGTCAGACGATTACAAAATAGCATAATAGGTCCATGCTGAATTTATTCAAGCTAACATAATCAGCTAATCGTTTAGGTTTCAGGTCAAATCATATCAGGTAAGTTTAAATTAGATACAAATTATATCATATTAGTTTAATGGTTTGACTTGAGTCATATCGAGTCTAAGTCGACTCGGATTCGGGTCATTTTAAGGTTGATTTCAAATAAGACTCAATTTGAGTTTGGATCGAATTAATTTCAAGTCGGATTAATATCAATTCAGGTCAAAACAAGTTTGAGTCTGAATCGATTTAATATTAGGTTAATTTAGGTTCATATAGACTTTAGGTGAGGTCTTATTCAGGTCGGGTCACGTCATTGACGAATAAAATTCAGGTCGGGTAATATTGATTTTGCGTGAACTTCAAGTCGGGTCTTACCAGATACAGATAGACTTCAGATCGGATTATTTTCGAGTGAATTATTTTTTTCATTTCATGAACATCTAATTGTAATTGTATTGTTTATAATATAGTATATATAATATAAATTATAGTCTTATAACCTTATATTATATGCTTCTAGCCATAGTCTTATAGCCATAGCCATAGCCATAACCATAACCATAACCATAGAGTACATATATAGCTATGCAATTGAAAAATTATATATAAAGAGAGACATTATAATAATTATCTTTAAATATATAGACAAAATTATTACAAACAACTAACTAGAACTAAATTGAACAAACATAAAATTACAAATTGAAATTTAAATAAATTAAACAACGTGCATGGATCAAATTGAAACATTTGTAAAATGCAAAGCTAAAATTAATATCAAATTGACTAAATTACATTCATTTGAAAAGTTGGTGAACAAAAGTTTATAGGGTTTAAAGATTATGATATAATTTACAAGGTTTGAAGTTGATAATGCAATTTATATGCTTTTGAGTAAATTACAAAAAATATGAATAAATATGGTCCAAATTTGGAAAAAATATAATTTTAAGGAATAAATTGAACAAACATGAAATTGCAAACTAAAATTTAAATAAATTAAACAATGTGTGGGGATCAAAGAGAAACATTTGCAACATGTATAACTGAAATTAATATCAAATTAGACTAAATTGCATTCATTTGAAAAGTTGATGAACAAAAATTTGTAGGGTTTGGAAATTATAATATTATTTAAAGATTTCAAAGTTTTATGATGTAGTATATAGGTTTGGACTAAATTACAAAAAATACAAATAAATATGAGTCAATTTGAGATAAAAATTATAATATTAAGGACTAAAATGAAAAAATATCACCAAATTAAAATTAGGGAAAATTACATCAGATACCACCAAACTTTAAGCGTTGACTCATTTATACCACCAAACTTTCAATTTTGCCAATTTCAACACTAACGTTTTGTTTTACGTTCAATTATACTAATTCACCATTAATGACTTAACGGGATGATGACATGGCAATCGTGCGACACTACTGAAGTGGTTGCCTCACCAAAATGACATCATCTTGGTATGACTATTTTGATTCCCAAAACGACATCGTTTTATTTGAAAAATATTGAAATATTAACCCAACGGTGACGTTTGGTCTACTGTTGACTCGGAAGGTGTCGTTGATGTAGTGAAGATGGGTATGGAGATAAAGATGAAGAGGAAGAAGAGAGAAAAATATAATTGGGAAATTTAGGTTTAGTCCGTAGGTTATTTAAAATGTTAGAACTAGTCTTAACTAAAAGTTTGAATTTTTAGGATTTTTTTACAAATATATCAAAAACTTAAGCTGGCTCAACGGTTTATCTTTAACTTCTTCAAACATAGGTCTAGGTTCAAATCCCCCTAAACATAGTATTTCTATAATTTTTGCACGTTAAACTAAATGTTAGTGCTAAAATCGATAAAATTGAAAATTTAGTGGTATAAACGAGTCAACATTTAAAGTTTGTTGATATTTGCAGTAATTTTCCCTTAAAATTATTAGATTAAATTACAAAAATTAGAAATAAATATACACCAATTTTAGTTAAAAGCTTAAATTTAATCATAAACTTTGATTAAATGTTAATGTATAATATAACATATAAAGTATGGATTTCGATTTAATATAATTATACACATAAAATTTTAATGAACTTTTAAAATGAAAGTATTTAAAAATAATTATTCAAGAAAAAGATATTTTAAAATGAAAACATTCTCTCTTCTCTCTTACCTACTTTTTTTAAATTTTATGTGAAATTTTAAAATAGAAACATTTCACCTTCTCTCCCCTCCCTACATCATTAATAATGTTTTGCACTTATTGATATGTTAAATTATTTTATATAATTTAATAAAATTAATAATCAATAATTGAATCATTTAACAAAAATAATTTAAATAAAAGGATTAATATTATTGATATACAAATATAAATGATTTATTGATCATAATTATACTTATTATTCTAATGGTCATAATTAATTATATACCTTAAATAGTAAAAATTTATTTTTTTTAAAATATTTATCAATCACAAATTATTAATTTAATTAAACTTTTGAATATATTTATGGGATACCTTATAAAAAGCAAATTTATTAATCTAATGATTATAATTAATCATGTAGCTTAAATGGTGAATAATTATTTTGTCAGTTGCAATTACAATTTACAAATTTACAATTTACAAGTCAAATAAATATCAAGTTGGGTCAATATCAGATTGGTTCAATAATAAGTTGGATCATTACTGATCGGGTCAATTAACAAATTGAGTCAATTATAGATTAAGTCAGCTAAAGGTCGGATAAAATCAGATCTCGAATTGTTTCAAGTCATGTTATATTAGGTATTTACCATGTTAATCTCAGGTTCGGGTTTATATCAGGTCAGTTGTTGGTTGGGTTCGATTAGCACATTATCAAATTCAATTTTTTTGCACGATAAGTGCAGGTCGAGTTCATATCCAAAATAACCATGTTCAACTTGGGTTTAGATCAACACCAGTTTAGACTCAAATCGATTTCAGGTCATCACCACCTCAGATCATAAACAGTTCAGAATCAAGTCATTTCAAACAGTGTTTTAGGTCGGATCATCACCACCATAAACAGTTCAAAATTAAGTCAGTTTCAAACAAATTTTTAGGTTAGGATAGTTTTTTACATCCCTACCCATATATATGATATACTATCATGTGGCACCAAGGGTACAAAATATATAAGAAAGCTCTTTCTCTCAAGAAAAAGGAGGACTGTTCACACTCGGGCAAGTTCTGATACAAGCACATTTTCAACTATAAAGGGAGTATTCTTGAACATCCTTATAATACATTCACTTTATACTAGCCTTATAATATATACTATTATGATACATATCATGCTTAGGATATTAGTTATGAAGTTAAAGAATAACTTAGTATGAATACATTTTGCACATTGTTATTTTAATATGTTAAGCATGTTAGTATAGCTTTATAATCATATTAAGCATGATTATTATTTATACATCAAGGCAACATACTTATAATGCATTTCATTAGTTCATATGCATTCATATTAGCTCTTAAGTATCATGCATAATCTTACACAAATTATAAGATGATATAATTAGCTCATGGCCTACAAACTTAGCTCACATTACCCTAATCAAACATGACAACACAGTACTTAGCTCGTCTTAGCTCAATATCATGGACTTACCTTGTTTCCTTGCACATGTAGGTACATTGGAGCATGATGCAGGTTGAGATAGCTTGGTGAATAATTTGGACTTCATATGCAGCTCACAATCAGCTTACAAAGTACAAGGTAGCTCATGGGACACTAAGGGAAGCTCGGTTCAGCTGGAGGAGCTTAAGGCTAGCTAAACTTAGCTAGTTGGACTATTTGGAGCTGAGTTGCCAAAAGTGATGTCAAAGGTAGGTAGCTGAATGTAGCTGAACATAATATTGAGGAGCTCACAAGGACTTATCTAGGAAGTTTGTTCACAAACAGCCCATGTTTGCTAGCTAGCTTCACAACTCAAGCTAGCTTGAAGAAGACACATGTACGCCCAAGAGAGAGAGCACATGTCCAGCCATCATTCCATGCACAAGGCTGCACCACAAGGTTTCCTAGAACACCCATGTGCCTTGCATATGACCAGCCCCTATGTGCCTTGCATGTGGATCATTTAGGCACCAAGATGAAGAGTTCTCTCCCTATTCGGCCAAGCCATGTGTTTTGCATGTGAACAACCCCATGTACCTTGCATGTGGTTCATTTAGGCGCCAAGATGAAGAGCTCTCTCCCTATTCGGCCAAGCATCATTTCCCATTCAATTTGGCACCGACTTGAGGGGACAATAGAACTATTCAGCCAAGGATTATTTCCCTCCATAAAGGACCGAAACATTATGTCATTTAGCATTTAATTATGTCATTTTATGGAGGCACAAGGGCTGGCTGAACCACTATGTATCCATTCGGCCATGCCCCTCCATTTCCTATAAATAGGAAATCACAATTCATTTGTAATCAGACCTTTTTTTCAATCGAAGTGAGATTATTCTCTT